CCTTGAGTTGTGAGCCGCTCTGAGTCCCTTTCAGGGAAAAGGGCGGCATACAAATAGAGCAAAATGAAATGAAATAATCCCCCCCCCCCCGCTCAATTCCTGGTTACATTACAGACACAAAGCATGGTTTTATTGGCAACAAGATAGAAGTGATGGGCATGGTCTTATAATTTCAAATTCTAAGTTTAGGCTACATCCCTGAATATCTCTCATCCAAGCACTAACCAGGCCCACTCTACATAGCTCCTAAACCCAGGCAATATTGGCCAGGTTATGTCACAGAATACTGATAATATATATTTTGGCACCATCAGCAATTGTATAATATTAGCACCCTTAGCTTACAAATCTGTTACTGATCAAAACTTTAACAGATCTTGATGACAAATTAGATTAGGGTACTCTCAGAAAGTAAAAGAGTTTGGTGATTTCTAATGAATTACTCGAGACAGCAGAGAGCAAGAAATAATTGTGTGTGGAAAGGTCTCCTTCTCTTCAAGGTATGTATCTTCAAAATTGCCCTCAAACTATCCGGTGATTGAGGCAAGGTAAAAAAATGAGCTCCTTATATTACAGCGAATTTGTAATGCTTTAAGCCAAAGGAATGATTTGAGAAATCATCATAATTTATACACAGACACATAATTTCTACTGAACATGGATGATAGGTCTTTTTGCATTAAAGCTGAAGAGCTCATTCATCTTTAACTCAGCATTAAAATGAACTGGCATGAGGTCCCTGGTCAATCCGAATCTTGACTCTATTGTCCTGTTCTAATCAATGTAAATTTAGCCTTACTTCCCTCCAAGGTAATGTTGTGATAAACTCTAGATTTTTACATATCTTAGTTTTTCCTAAGATAATGCCAAAACAAGGTATTTGGGCGGGGGACATTATTTTAAGTCCATGACACAAGCTTGTTTCGTTCTTTGGTTGGCAATGAGATGATGGAGACAGAGCCCCTTCCTTCCCAAAAGACATGCTTGTGCTGGGCCTAGCTACAATTGGGGCAAAGCCCTTTTTGATTTGCATTTTCTGTACGTGTGCAATTTTGATGATAAAGCATGCTGAAAAAAGGTGAATAATGCAGTACTCAGCCTGTGATGGCAACTTTAATTCAAAATTTCATCTCAGAAAGGGGGGAAGAGAAATAGTATTTTGCCTGCCACTCTTTATCCTGATCTTGATAATTTGTTTTAAGGTCAAAATACATACTTGGTTGCATGGACTTAACTGGAATTCTTGAAAGTTAAGAAGTAAAGAAACAGTGGGAGGTATATAATATCCCACTGTTTTTGTACAGCTAACTTGATCTGGTAGGATTGGGGCACTCCACATTCCATTGATTAAACAATGCCATCTGTCTAGACGCTGGAAACATTTCTGTAGTAGCACTTGCCCTCTGGAATGAAGTTCCACCCGAAATGGCTCTCTACTAATCTTTCGAAGACCACCAAAGACCTGGCTCTTTGCCCAGGTCTTTGGCTATGCTGACTAATGTCTCTGTCATTTTTTTTTTGTGTGCCTCTTGATTTGTTTTCTTTGTCATTGTTCTTTTGCTTTGTGTTGTTTTTGTATGTTGCTCTTTGTTCTTAAATGTTTTTAACTGTAAACTATCTAGAATTGCTGGAAAGTGGGTGGCATATAAATATTATTATTACAGCAATATTTATACGCTAAAGGTTTCAACCTGACTTTTAATTAACACTAGAACAGTACATGACTCTCTGAGCTTAGCTGTTTGCAAATGATTCATTACCCAACATTACAGATCCCATCACCTGTACATTACCAAGCTCAGAGAGCAGAAATGGAGACCACAGTTCAAGCCTGAGTAACATCCAAAAGATGCTTTTCCAGGAGGCGATTGAGGTCTGAAGTGCAAAAACATCTTTGGGACAACCACAATCTGTATGACTGAGAATCTTCATAGACCCCGAGTAACATCTAATCTCTTCTACTGGAACATTTAACTATTTACTTTGAATGTTGATGGTAACCATCCGTTCTTGCTTAATTTATTTGGTTTTGTAAAGCAATTGGTCGTATTTTTATTACAGGAGTATCATAAATTCCTAAAATTTGCACAATTTGTTCTGAATGCTCAAAATATGAGTGCTACTAAAAGTAAAATATGATTACAATATATCCCTTGGAAAATATTTAGGCAGGATGAGAAAGGCATTCCAAAGAAGTACTTTTATGCAATGCATACAAGACACAAAAAATCTGAAACTTCTCAGTTTGAAACAGTTGGACACACATACAACATGCATTTTCTTGTTAAATTCTGAGTAGAGCAGCAGCATTAGGTAGAAATTATCTTGTTGGTTCTTCTGTATCCAGGCTGTTATGAACTCTGCAATGGAAAAACACATGTTTCTCTATCTTCCATGCTTCTTGCAGGGCCAATAACAACGTTGGGAAAAAAAGGCACTGGACGTATCTTGAAAATGATGCACACACAATGGAATGTCCTTAGGTAGTTAAAAAAAAGGAAGAGCCTGTACTATGAGACCTGATGGTCATTTCATATGTCAAGGTAAAACAAGCTGTTTGGGTGCTTTCTGCTCTGTTCTTTAATGAAGTTCATCCAGATACTAGTTGCAGAGGTAGTTGGGATTAGCTTCACCATATCAGCCAACATTTTGCAACCAGTAGAATGTTTATCATTAAATTACAAATTAAGCCAAATACAGGTAGTCCTTGACTTTTGACCACAATTGAGCCCAACATTTCTGTTCTTAAATGAATTTTGCCCCATTAAACAGTTCACTAAAGGAACTGTTGTACACTTTCAACATACTTATCTTAACAATGGCTGAAACCCCATCACTTAAGTTTCATTCATCACATTATGCCACACACCATCACTCAAGGATTGGAAGGGCTGGATTCAAACCCCACATTGATCCAAACTCCAAACAAATCTGAAAGGACTGGAAAATCCATTCAGCTGCTCAAAATACAGGGAGTGTTTGACTTACAATAGTTCATTTAGTAACCATTCAAAGTTATACCGGAACTGAAAAAAGTGACTTATGATCATTTTTCAGTTACACTCTTTGTAGCAGCCCCATGATCGCATGGTCAAAATTCAGCTGCTTGACAACTGGTTCACATTTATGATTGTTGCTATGTCCCAAGGTTTGCAACCTTTTGACAAGCAAAGTCAATGGGGAAGCCAGATTCACTTAACAACCGGTTTACTAACTTAGCGACTTCAGTGATTCACTTAACAACTTAGGCAAGAAAGGTTGTAAAATGGAGCAAAACTCACTGAACAAATGTCCCACTGAACAACAGAAATGTTGGGCTTAGTTGGGTTTGTAAGTTGAAGACTACCTGTACAATACTCAGTATTGAGTATTAACCTGAGTACAGGTTAAGTTTAGGTCAGTTGGTCTGGGTGGAAAAGTCCAACGCCTTAAGATGCAAAGTTGAAGACCTTTTCCTGGGAACTTCGTAGCACTTTGCGGATCTCCGATCAGGACGCCCAATGGTTCAATTATTATTCATACCCGGGTGCAGAGATTTCTGCTGGAGTTCACAGGACCTGGGCAGCAACCCTCTGTGCCTCTTCTCCAGAGAATAAACCCGTGTGATTTATTTCCCACAAAGGCAGTGCAGACGCCTGCGGACACGACTTACATGCGCAAAGTAAGGTCTCTCCGCCACTTCTGCGCCCCCGGCATTTTTCGGATCCGCACCCCAGCGGCGCCCCACTTGGAAAGCGCCACGGACTCCCTCCCAGGAGCGGACCGCAGCGGCGACTGCAGCTGCAGCAAAGCCGCCTGCCAAAGAAACAGTGCACGCCAGGCCGCAGCCGCTGCCTCAAAAGCCGGACGCACTCCATGTCGGCCACCGCTCCGAGGGCTTTGCGCCTTCAAAACGCGCAGCTTCCGCTAACCGACCGACGTCGAAGGGGTGGAGTTGCAGCCGAGTTCGCTCCGGAGGAGGAGCCCGTCCGCTTCGACCTGCGGCGGCGGCGGAGCGGCGGGAGTGGGAAGTGGGGGCGTGCGAATTAGGAGCGTACCGGGAATACCGCAAACGCCAGATAAACGCAGTGCTTTGTGCATGTAATAAAAGTTGAGGCAGGGCTGGATGTTGGATATTGAATACATTGAAGCCTTAAGGCTAAGCGGAATTTCATGGGGGGGGGGGGGCGGCGTTCAAAATAAACGAAAGAAAAACAAAAGTTTTTTTTCCCCCACGTGGACTTGGCGATTGCTAATTATTAACCTACCCAAACAGGGTATCTTTCGAAATTTCTTTTTGCACTGGAAATAAGAGATACCTGAGAATGCATAATGAAATCTTAACAAGAAAAGAGAGAGTCAAACTATTTCTCCAAAGCACCTGAGGGCAGGACAAGAAGCAATGGATGGAGGCTAATCAAGGAGAGAAGCAACCTAGAACGAAGGAGAAATTTCCTGACAGTTAGAACAAATAACCAGAAGTTGTGAAGGCTCCAACACGGGAAGTTTTTAAGAAGGTGTTGGATAACCATTTGTCTGAAGTGGGGTAGGGTTTCCTGCCTAAGTAGGGGGTTGGATTAGAACAGTGGTTCCCAAACTTGGCAACTTTAAGATTTGTGGACTTCAACTCCCAGAGTTCTCCAGCTAGAAGAGCTAGCTGGAGAATTCTGGGAGTTGAAGTCCACAAGTCTTAAAGTTGCCAAGTTTGGGAACCACTGGATTAGAATAGCAGTTAGACTTATATACCGCTTCATAGGGCTTTCAGCCCTCTCTAAGCGGTTTACAGTCAGCATATTGCCCCCAACAACAATCCCGGGTCCTCATTTCACCCACCTCGGAAGGATGGAAGACTGAGTCAACCTTGAGCCGGTGAGATTTGAACAGCAGAACTGCAGTCAGCTGAAGTAGCTTGCAGTGCTGCATTTAACCACTGTGCTCACTCGGCTCACTAGAAGACCTCCAAGGTCCCTTCCAACTCAGTTATTCTATTCAAATTTCAAAGATGCTCATTTCCAAATTGTAAAGAGTCACACAACACTAAGTTGGAAAAAAAAACCGGTCTGCTGTGTCGTTTGCGTGCCATGTATATCTTACTTTTTTGTAATATTTGGAAAACGAAGTCGATAACTTAAAAGAGATGAAGAAATTTATAATGTTCTACAATAATACTCAGTGTAGAACTCTTGTACACATATTTAGTACAGTAAGCTTTTGTGACATTGGTTGGGTGAAGTTTCAGCTTTAGAGGTTCCTGTTCCCTTGAGCAGTGCATTACCATTAGACTCAAAAAAGTCAACATTGTTCCTACATTTGGGAAAGCCAATTAATGATAACTCAATAGAGCTCCTGACAGCATGAGTATTTAATTATTTGGATAATTTTGTGACTGGAATGGGGCGCATGTTTCTAGGACCATGAGGTCAAGTTATTGGTATAGTAATAAATTCATGAGCAATGCAATGCGCTCTTCATTTTTTCCACTTTTCTTTCTTATTCTTTCTATTTTATGTGTGGTGAATAGACGTAAGATGAAAGCACAAGCGTGTTCTAGGTGAACAATCTGCTTAGATCTCAAAAACCTTGTAAATTATTTTGTGTAAAAGAACTGTCATTTTGTGTGCCTGCAGCAGGTGGCAGTAAAATAATTTTTTTGATGTTAGATGTCAGGATATGGTTCTCCCCCAAAAAAGGATGCGAATAGTCTCTGGACATTGATATGGGCAGAATATAAATTTAATAAATATGTAAAAAAAACCTATTGCATGGAAAAGAAAGCAGCAATGTTTCTGTATTATCCTGAGCCTGTAAATCATTCTAGCCTATTACTGTTGAGCGCATTCTCAATTAGCAATAGCAATAGCAGTTAGACTTATATACCGCTTCATAGGGCTTTCAGCCCTCTCTAAGTGGTTTACAGAGTCAGCATATCGCCCCCA